AATGGAAACATTAAAGGCCACAGTCTGTGGTTTAAACTGATTACTACCAGTAATTACAAGATGTTCAATATACACGTACACATACAGGAGTGTGTGGAGTGAAATTTGTCAAAGAAACACGCGATGTGCAGTCAATACAGGTCAGGCTTGATGAAAACAAGAACTAAAATCAATAGATTGTGATCAGCTTCAACTGTTATTACTGTCACTGTCACAGAGAGTGCAGACACACAGATACTATAAAGCTGGCTGCAGAGAGGGGCGGGGATGCTGTGGTAACGGTCGACTGCATTTGATGAGTGAGGATGATGAGGGTGACAGCTTTTTATGAATTTGAGGTGATGCAGCTCACAGACAAAAAATGGAATATGTCTGTGAAAGCTGGAATCTGAACACGATCCTTTTATCCAACAGAAATCCTTCTGTCATCTAATAGGCAGTGAGGATGTCACAAAAAGGACCCCACCCACCAAAAATAGTGGCTGGTCTGGTGTATTCAGGGAAAACAAAACAGTTTTGTCTGTTAGCTCTGCTGCGTGTGACTGCATTGCACTTTTAAATAAAATTCTGTGTCCACGTTTCAGGCTTTAACACAGGGTGATGTTGTGTTTTGCTGCAAACTGAATTGAAGTTTTGTTGCTTTGCATTGCTTACGCTAGTTGCACTAAGACTGGGGGAAATACATCCAATTAAATGAAGTTTTCACAGTTGCTAGTCTGTCAGTTCACCAGAAACGGCAACACCGACAAAGTCTTCAAACGGTTCATGCAGAGATGCAAATGTTACAATTTCTGTTTGAAAAAGGGAAGTAATGTTGACACCATATCTTCATTGGGGTCACACTTCCTCATTTTACTATAGATAACTTGTAGATCTGCGTGCTGCGCCTGCTCTGGACCAGTCTGTGGTGGCACGGTGCCAGTGTTTCCATTTAACATACTGGCTGTTGGACTCAAACACAGAGCATCAAGTGTTAAAGAACCTTAAGATTATGTCTATTTGAAAATGTCCAGCATATGCAAATGCATTTTATATGCTGATATCGCTCCTCATTGTATTCAGACCCAACGGTCCCTTCCATTATGCATTCAGTCTATATATTGATATTTCCACAGACTCCACTCACCATCTGCAGGAGTCCCATTGACCATGCAGGTCTATTCAACAAACCATTACATCACTGCAGCCAAAAAAGCTCTTAGTTTACAGCTAGACTTATAGGAAGTTCCTGAAAATCTTCCTGAAAGTCCTAAATGTTGAAACAGAGAGGGAACGTCTTGCAGCAAGAGCAATTTATTATTTAATTGCTTTTTTGTAGGATGAGGTTTTCACTTTCAGATGTTTGAGACTTTTACCGCTGCTCATATGAACACACTCACTGCATCCCTCCACCTCTCCCCCACCGCCCTCTGACACCTGCTCTGAGTCAAACGGCAGATGACAGGGACGCCTCTCGAGGGCTTTTTAGGGGCCACGTGCCGTGGTGCTCTGACCCCTGTATCCCCCTGGGGACCGGCTGATCCTCTCTCCAACTCGTTTCCCCACTACATTAAGCTCCACTCAGGAGTCATCACCCAGCCTTGTTTAACATTCGATCAGAAGAGGAGTCCAGACGTTCGTGTTTCGCCTCATAAAAACACGCCGGCTGTCCAGCTGGACTCCCAGCAGACAGTCAAGATACTCCGTCTGTGCTTCTTACCGCTGCATCTTTGTGTATAATATAACCTTAAAAGCTTTTCATGACAACATCGTGTAGTGTGTTTTTTTGGTATAAGCAACAAAGAGATCTGTGATTTGTTCATTTGTTTAACAGTGTGGTCTTAAATTGGTGGGTTTTTCACTCTATGCTACAATTTTGTCCTGATGTTTTCTATAACAAATACAATGTCTCTCAATATACAGTCAAAAAAGTACAACGTTACTGCTTCCATTAGTTTCCACGATCTTCTGAGCAAATTCATCCCAAGGTCAGACTCTGCAAGCTTAGTGTGCAAAGATAGAGCTGAACATACCATAAAACCTCTGGAACAATTTCCTTCAGACAGATGAGACCAAGGTGAAGATGTTCGCCCTTCCATTATGCACAGTGACACGTTTGGTGAAAACCAAACACTACGTATCAGCACAAACTCTCATAGAGATCAGTCACAGCACAGACTCAACCTGAGTGAAATACTGTGGTGCAACCTGAGCTGTGCATGAATGAAAGCACAGAAGAAGAGTGGGCCAAAATTACTCCACAGTGATGTGAGAGACTGATAAAAGTCATAACGCTGCTTCAGGTGGTTCAACAAACTACTGAATGAAGGGGTGTGATTAGCTTTTTACTTCCTGGTTTAAAAATCTCAAATATCTCAGATTACATTAAGTAAAGATTAAATAAAAAAGAAAACATTTTTATTTAGTTTATAGATTATAGGTTTGATTCCAGTTACACTCACTACAGTTTTCCAAGGAAAAATATAAAAA